AAAGCCGTAAGGAATCCCAAATAAAGCAGGTTTAAAAACCAAAGCCCATACCTTGATATTGGTCTTGACTTCTCCCCTCATTTGAGGCAGGGTCTCTTGTTCAGGGCGGCATGTGCCAGACTAGCTGGTAGAAAATCTCCCAGGATTCTCTTGTCTCCTTCCCATCTTGCTGTAGGAATGCTGGGTGACAGATGCTGCCATACCTGGGTTACATGGGTCCTGACGCAGAGGGTGCAGCCAATGCCTGACCAGTTCTGAGCCGTCTCCCCAGAGCTGCTCCTTCGAAGCCAGCCCAGCAGAAGTCTGTTGCTCCCCGTTCCTGGCTGCTTCACGTGAGGTGCTGTCCCTCTGCCCACGCACAGATTCCGCACTGTTTCCCCTGAGACGCCAACATCAACACGTCACGCCAGGCCACCTTCTCACTGCCCGTCACCCACTCGCAGACCCACAACGATGCAGCCTTGTTCCGTTTCCCTATTTACTGCGCTCGAAAGAGCAGCACCAAGTAGCAGCCGCCATGCTGCTGCGGCCTCACGCTCCCTGCTGGACTGAGGTCTCCACGCTCGGTTTACAAAGAGCTGACTCTACAGCCCTTGCTACTCAATGACCCTCCAACACAAAAGCTTACTATGAAAACCTCAAGATGAGCCGGGGATTCTTCAAGTACTCAAGAACCGGGGGACGTGAGTGCTCTGCATTAAGTAAGAACAGAAAGTACCCATTCTGCGCTCTGACTAACGGATGGATAACAGAGATACTGAGGTGTGATGGATGGGGTCCAGGGACACCACCATGGGCACGGGGGTCAAGGAAGAGGGCAACACAGGAATCGTCCAGCCTCTGTTAGGCGCTACACGCTGGAGCTTCGCCCCTCCTTTCTGGGGTACACCTGGCTGAGAAACACCATCTTATTCTTTCATCCTATTGTCTTTTTAAAAGTTCTCTGTCTCTGTCTCTCTCTCTCTAAAACTCTCTCTCCCCCAGTGTGTGTGTGTGTGTGTGCCCCAAGAATCTAAAAGAGAATTTCAGAACCCCTGGAACTGGAGTTCTGGATGGTTGTGAGCGGCTGATAGAGAAGGAATTGAACTCAGGCCCTCTCTAAGAGCAGAAGCAAAGTGCACTCAACCACTGAGCGGTCCCTGCAGTCCATCTCACCATAGTCTTTAGAACTGTGTGACCACCAAGAGATGTGCTAGTGAGTGGGGGTGCGACAGCAACCCACGCCTCCAGGAATAACAGAAAAACAATTACAGGAAACAGTGAAGTACCAACTCGGGGTTTTTGTTAACCTTGCCTTCTACAATGTGGAATTATAACACCAGTTCACGGTGAAAACTGAAACTCTACCATGCTCTGGCACAGCACAGAGCTTTCTCGCTTTGCCCTCTGCAGTGAGAGCCCACAGCACAGCCTTCTGACTGAGACTGGAGGCCGTCAGTCAGAGCCGCAGCCAGGAGGCCGCTCTAAGGTGCTCTAGTCTGTGCCTCAAGGAAATCACATGAAATGCTGGGCTCCATCCCCCATGCACCTATAAGGCAGAAACCAAGTCTTGGGGGAAAAAAAAAAAGAGGCTCACGTGTCTGAGTCCAGGCAGAACGGCAGGAGGGGCCCTTAGGAAGCAAGGCCCTCTTTTTTAGCACTGCCTACTTGTGGGGCAGGCAAGAGAATTCAACCAGGACATGCTCTGAAGGGGCCCCACTGAACAGCCACCCCAGGACATGCATGGCAGGAGAGATAGTCCATTCTTGGTTCCCACTGACCCCACACAACAGGAAAAGCCGACAGAATTGTAGCTACTCAAACAGTCTGAATAATGCTGGGAGACGACTCGAGCAGGGACCTGCATCGCATCCCCAGGACCCACACACGCCAGGCACAGCAGAGTGCAGCTGTACCACAGGGCTCCTGGGTGAGGAGGGAGGCAGAGACACAACCTGTGGGCCAGCAAAGAAGAGAGCTGCCTCAGAGGAGGAGGGAGGGGAGGCAGAGCGGTACACAGGCACAAAGTAAACAAGAAGGCAATCTGAACACATCGCCAAGACCCCCGAGAGGCCCTGGGAAGAGGGGTGGCCACAGAAGGGGGTGCTGGTCCATGGAACCCCGCACTATGATGACTGCCGAGGATTCTTACTCAAAACTGCCGGAGAGGGAGAGCGTTCCCACGCAAAGGAACAGCGAGCTTGTCCTGAAATTCCACAATGTACACGCTTATCCAAACATTACCTCGTACCCAAAAATACATAATTACCTTTCGATTAAAATAAAACCTGAAAGAGTTGTGTTATTATTGTTAAGAAGTCAGTTGAGAATATCTGTCTCAAATAACACGAACTCATGTCACAGCGTCAGCCAACTTCCACTGGGAGGACAGTGGTTCCTCGGCTTTTGGGAAGTCTCACTCACCTGTGAGGGTGACATCAATGATGTTTGTACCAGAGTGAGGCACTGCCTACCTGTCTGAAAAGACCCCTAAGAAAAGCAAAATCAACGCTGGGGATTCCAAGTAAAAGCACAACGTCATGAGGAAACATTCAGATACCCATATGCCCACTTTCAGGATGCCATCACTCGCAACAGCCCAAAGTAGCCAAACAGACACACAGTTAAGCCAAGTGCGGTAAAGCCACAGCCAGCACAGTCACCGGGACAGTCAGAGATGGACAGTCAGCCAGGCCGGGAGCACGGGTCACGGGGGCCACAGCTCAGCCGAGACCACAGCTCCCCTGAAGACTTCCCTCACCGGGTGAGCCACCTAAGCAAATGCGATGCACATTCAACGGAGGAGGTGCGGCCAGCCTTTACGAGAAGACAGACACACCCCACAGCACGGACGAGCCTTGGAAATGGCACCCTAAGTAAACCAGACACCGAAACACTTACAGGAGGACCACGAGGATCAGGAGCTGGGAGAGGACAAACAGGCAGTGACCGTGGAGCAGATATGGTTTTGGTTCAGGATGATAAACAGTTCTGAAGAGAGATAGCAGCAATGGCTGCACAAAGATTTAAGCATGTTAAATGTCACCTCTGCATCAGATGCCTAAGACTGGCTGAAACAGGGTTAGGGAGATGGCTCAGCGGGAAAAGTGCCTGCTCTACAAACATGATGTCCCCAGGTTCGGGTCCCCAGCTCCCACGTGAAAACACAGGCAGCATGTACCTGTAATCCCAGCACTGGGAGGAGACAGCTCCCTGCCTCACAGCCAGTCTAGCCAAAATGGTGAGCTCTGGCTTCAGTGAGAGATACTGGCCCCCCACATATACATACATACATACATACATACATACATACATACATACATACATACATACATACATACATGCATACAGTGGAGAGACGCTGTGCTGGCTAGCTTTATGTCAACTTGACACAAGCTAGAGTCGTCTGAGAGGAGGGAGCCTCGTTGAGAAAATGCCTCCCTAAGGTCAGGCTGTAGGCAGGCCTGTAGGGCATTTTCTCAATGACTGATAAGCCTTTCCTCCCCAGCTTGCCTTTTCGTCATGGTGTTTCATTGCACTGAAAGAAACCCTAACTATGGCAGATAGCCAGTGTTGACCTCTGACCCCCACACAAGTGCACATGCGAGCACACACACATCCAAAATGACTAAAATGGCAAATTTTATTTTTATTCTGGTAAAAAAAAAAAAAAAAAAAAAACAGATGAGAACTACTGAGTGGCGATTTCTTGTGTGATTTTGACCCATCTTCCTCCCCTGTGCTTGAGCCAAGAGGAGAGGAACTACAGCAGAGGCCACACCGGAGCCTCAAGCATGGACCCCTGCACGGAGGAACCATAGCCATTACCCCGTGTTTACTTCTAAAATAATTTATGTCCAACACAAACGCTGTGTGCACACTCAGTACACGCTCCAATCAAACACGAGGAGAGAAAACTACAGCTGTGGGAGACTGGCATGGCAACCGTTTGTTTGTGTTACTGTCCTTTGAGTCCAAGGGTGCAAATCACACCGAAGGGCAGGGCCTTCGAGCCTGCTGGTCGGCCCTACTCTTGTGTCACAGGGCACTTCTGGGAGGAAGTTCCGCACTGACAAGCTGAGTGCTCACAGACTTCCTACCGCCCCCACAGGAAGTCCCTGTCTCACCTGCATGACTTCCTGTCATAAGGCCGGGGATGGGGAGCCAAAGCCAGCTCCAGGGACTGATGTCATCTTGACTGAGGTCTGATCTTGGTGACCTGCTATATCCCGACCCGGCGTTGTCACAGCCCTTCAGCTGGTTTCAGGTTATAAGGGAAAAGGGGGTCAAAGAATGGAAAGGGGAAAATGCTTGCACATCTCCTGTGTCCCAGTACACACTTCTGCTGCTGCTTATCTTGATGGGAGAGCGGGCAGTCGGTGGATGGATGCTGAGACGTTCTTGGGACCCGGTGGCCTTAACACACCCAAAAGCACATGGATTAGGACAGAAAAGTTGAGGGGCTGGAGAGAAGCTCAATGGAACAGCATTTGCCTAGCATGCAGGCACAAGGTGCTGAGTCTAATCTCTGCTACAACAAACACAAACAAAACACAATGACAACAACGAAGGAACAGAAATTCCAATAATTTCTGGCGGCCTCTTGCTCGTAAGCAGTGCCTTATTCTGTCATCTCTGAATGGAGGTTGACAATCAGGCAGTAGCACTTGTAAAGCACCTGTAATTCTTGGCAAACACCTTGGCGGCGGCGGCACCACCTCAGCAAGGTGAAGGAGCAGCATCAGTGACATTGGAGACATGCGAACACACGATTCTCAACCCCAGCAGCAGGAGCGCGGCTCTGAGCATCACTGAGTCGTGGAACAGGGCATCTCCGTATGTATGACAGTCTACAGCTCCTGGTACACCAGCCCCACTCCACTCCAAAAAAAAATGTGAACATACTAGGACATAGCAGGACAAACTGTCTACATTCCACAAGAGAAGGGACAGGAGGGGGAAAAAGCCCCTTCAAAATGAACCTTTAAATCTTAAGCTATTAAATGAAGAAGTCATACAATGCTTAACCACATTTATTTTACATCATGATTTCTTAGTCTTGTACAGCTGACAGTTCGGGGAAATAAACACCCCTTCCCTTTTTGGCTGCATGTGTGGTAACAGAGTAGGGAACACAGACTCCAAGAGAATAAGCAGGGAATGCAGGAGATGGAGCAGGAGAGAGAGAGAGACAGAGAGAGACAGAGAGAGAGGCTGGAGGACAGACGTGTTCCCATGAGCCCCTCGCTATTAGCAGCATCAACCAGCAAGCTCAAAGCTGGCAAGAGTGTTTTTCCTCAGGGATAACCTGGGCCCTTCTGGGCACTCCTCTTCATTTTGTCAGCCCACTCGTGACACTGTTCAGAGAGCACATTTAGTGTGTTACTCAGCAAATATCGACCGAATCGTGTAAACCAGCCTTGTTTAGCAGAAGCACCATGAGCTGCCACCAAGGTCCTTCCTTACATTTACAGTCCCCTGGCAGAGTATTTCACATGGCTTATCCTTTCAGTCCGACTGCAACACCGCAACCCTGAATGTAAGTTACCTCATATCTCGGAAGCTGTGTTCACAGCAGCTGCTGGCAAGGTTGGCTAGTCTCTTGTCCAGACAGCAAGTGTAAGTGAATCTATTAGCCTCCTGCCCCATCACTTCCTCTCAGGTCCTTGTCCAGGGCCATGGCGTGCCTGAAGGTTAGCCACCCCCAGAGAGCCTTCTCGAGGGCTCTGTCCTGTCAGAACACTCCATGTGATGTTCATCTTGTCAGCTCTGCCCAATCCACGGGGGTGAAAAATGGGTGAGACTTGATGTCTTCCACACCCGCCACTCCGGCTCCCAGGCGCTCCATCGGATTGAACTGCAAGAGCTGAAACACAAGATTCTGTAAGTGACAGAAACACAGCAGCAGCGGGAGAAAAACGGAGCCTGTGGGAGGGGGAGCTTCAGAATTCGACTGAGTGATAAGCGGGCCGACAGCAGCCGAGCGGCTGTCTGGCTGTGGGCTGGAGAGCATCCTAACTGTGTGAAAGCTCTTCAGCGTCTGCTAGCTTAGCCCTGGGACACCCAGGCTTTCCTCAGAAGTGTATCGGGGTCAAGAGGGATGCTACTTCCTTCCCGACTCAGAAGCCTGGGAGAGCCACAAAACTTCCAGTTCCTTAACGACTACAGCACATCAGGGCTGCACGTGCTCAAAGCTGTGTCCCCCAAACCACTGTCTCTGGAATGGCTGCTGAGGCTGATGAGGTCATTTGATCCAGTGTATGGCATTTCTTCGGAATTATGAATTTTATATAAAATAAGCAAATAATGTCACAGACAATCAGATTTTTAATAGTAAAAACCAGAAGCAGGGCTGGAGAGATGGCTCAGAGGTTAAGAGCATTGACTGCTTTCCCAGAGGTCCTGAGTTCAATTCCCAGCAACCACATGGATAGTGGCTGACAACTATCTATAATGTGATCTGATGCCCTCTTCTGGCGTGCAGGTGTACATGCAGATAGAACACTCATATACATTAAATAAATACACAAAAAATATCTTTAAAGAAACAGAAGCAATTTTTACAGCCCTACAAAGGCCCTGTACACCCTGGAGAGCTCAAACGTTGTGTCAGCAGCTTTACGGAGGGACAATTTCTACACTATATGAAGATCTGCTGCAAGCTACGAGCCAACATTCTTTGACCAGCTTACCTTGTGTAAGACCCAGTCCAGCCTAGACCCCTCTGAAGACCCTGCAGGCTGCTCTGTGACATCTGAGTCGCCCCACTAGCTCAGCCCCAGGCAGCCGCTGACAGGAACCTGTCCTTCCGAGGCATCTGCTGGGCGCAGTGCTAAGGGAGCCTCCGTGCTTTCCCTCAGGGAGCATGGCGCCTGTGGGCCCCACCATCGGAGGCAGGCGCCGGCCCCCTTCTGATCACTATTCCATAGTGATTCTACTGCATGCTATTAATCTACCCACTCACTAACGGGCCTTCAAGTTCCCAGTTCTATAAGGACTGGCACGGCTGCTAAGAGTCAGTTCGTTTTCAGTTGAAGTCATTCCTAGGATCAGTACTGCTGGGTCACTGAGCAGGTTTGTGTTTAACTCACTAAGAAACTGGCAGACTTTCCCTGAGGGGCTGTACCTGTCCACACCCCCGTCAGCAGTGAGAGAGCTCTGGGCTTTCCCCCTCAGCAACTTCTGCTCTTTCCTGAAAGCCCCTCTAGAGGGCTGCTGGCCTCTCGTGGTGGTTTTGTTCAGACTCCCTGGTGACTGACATCACTGAGCATGGCCGTACCCTGGCGGCCACTCATGTAGCCTCTGCTGCAATGGCTTTCTGTCCACCCATTTTTAAACTAAGCTGTCTGTCTTGCTGGGTGAGCTTTATTCATTCTGAATACAAGCAGACAGCGGCTAGCAAGCGTCTTTCTGCAGCCTGTGGCTTGTTTTCACTTTCTTCATATCTTTGAAGTGCTTATGTTTTTAATTTTACTGAAGTCTACTTTATCAGTGTTCCTTTTATGGATCACGCTTTTGGTGTCATATCTAATGAGCTCTGTGTAGCCCAAGGCCATGAGTGTTTTCTTGTGTTTTCTTTATAGCTGAACAGCTTTAGCTCTTCCACAAAGGCCTGTGGGCTACTCTGAGTACACTGTAGTGCGAAGTAAGGGAGCGACACTGTGGTTTGAGTACTCACTGATGTCCAAGCACTTGGACATGGCACATGGCTGTTCTGAGGATCGCAACACGACCTGACTGGCTAGCTTAGGCCGGCGTGAAGAACTGTCTGGATGGCGCAGGTGCCTCAGCCTTTGTGTCCACTGCAGCCCGACAGGTCCCTGGCTCACAGATCTTTTCAAGGTAGGATTTACCTTTTACTCTCCTCCCTGTTCTCTCTCACGGTTTCTGCTTCTTCAGTTTCCTTGGGATTTACTTTATTTGGATAGATTCTTTCTGTATTTATTTATTAATTTTTTTAGTAGGGACTCATTCTAGAGCCCTGACTAGCCTTGAACTCATGGTAATCCTCCTGCCTCAGCTTGCCAAGTGCTGGGATCATGAGTGTGTGTTCCCATGCCCAGTTCTTCTCAGTGTCTTAAGGTGTAAGCTTGGACCCTGAGACAGTCGTGTAAAGGCTGCAACAACTGGCACAGCCTTCTTGATAAGCTGCGTTTCCACTTCCATTCTGTTTCCTCTGAGCTTCGACTTTTCTTACGAGTTCTTCTTTGACCATAAGCTACACAGTAGTCAGTGTGCCGTTTAATCCCCAAAAATCTGTGGATTTAGCTGACTCTTTCAGAGTTGGGAGTGGGGGAGGCTTTTTGTTTTGGGTTGCTTTTTAAGACAGGATCTCCTACAGCCCAGGCTGGCCTAGAACTTCTGTGAAGCCAAGGATGACCTTGAACCTCTGACCTGCCTGTTGTCTGTTACTGACTGACAGTTCCTCTGTTGTGGTCAGAGGCTGGGTTTCAGCCTTTCTAATCCTGGAGCTTTATCTGAACACAGTACACGGTGATCTGGAAAGCTGCCTTACACGCTCGTGTGTTGTGTGCACCCTGCAGCCACCGTCAAGCCTTCCACCTGTATGATCACACGTGTCCTCTGTAGCCTGCTGGTTTCTATAACTACCAAGATGAGATAGGGAGGACTTTGCTTAACTGTTTTTTTCTTTTATTTCATTTTTTATGTTCCTTGGGGTTGTTACTAGTTACACTTTCCTGTGTTGGCCTTTATCCTTCTGAGAGGTCGTCAGTCTTCAGCAAGCTCTGCTCTAAGTCCCTTTTGCTGATGCTTATCATCGCTCTAGTCCTCGGGGTGACCATGAGTGGTCCTCACCTCTCCTTAACCCTCCTCTCTAACCTGATTGTATCTGAACTCTAAGTTGTCCCGGTTGCTTTTCCAGGCATGTTAATAATGTTTTGTAAGGTGTGCATGAACAGGAACTTAGAATGTCCCAGGGGTTCTTTGAGTAGTTGCTGTAGAAACTACACAACTTAATTTGTCACAATCTACTTCAGAATAGTCCTAACTCAGTAACAGGCAGGAATTCTCTCCCACTGTGGCCCAGTCCTGCACCCTGGCAACTGAAGCACATGCCTCCACGACAACATTTCTTTATAGTTCACAGAGTTGGGCAAACTACCCATCTCCAATACTTTCACTCACATTGCAGAAGAGCTGTGTTCTCCCGCCCTCTGCTCATGACAACAGCGTCCATGAGAAAGCCACTGCGACTCTAGATTCATCCTTCACCCTGTCAGCCTCTTGTCACTGTTGAGGCCCCTGCGCTGCCTTCCCCACATCTAAGCCCATAACTGAGCGATGTCAAAGGCCCAGTAACTGACTAAAGTTAAGACAAGATTAGTAGAAACAAGTCTCCACCCTTCTCTGGGTCTACCAACACGCCATGTTCATCTGAACTCGACTGCTCATGAGCCCCTCCTGCCCAAAATACCTTCCTGACAGTGCTGGTGCAGTGGACCTACAGTCTGCAAGGCCAGGGTGCTTAGCCAGGAGGTCAGTTCAGTTACCTGTTGAATGAGCGAGCGAGCCTCTTCAGAAACACAGTCTGGCATGTTCAAAGTGGTGTGCGTATTTATCCCTGCTGGGTGGCACTCCACCAGAGTCTGAAACAGTCAAGCAGGCACAGTTCTTATCCCAAACCACGCCACAGCTGCTTCTGCCACAGGCCACACAGGCAGCAGTGCAGAGGCCTGACAGCAACTAGAGGCAGAGCCAACAAGAGTGTCACCGTGGCAGATCAGCCTGAGGGCTGCGAGCCCACAGAGATCTACACAAAGCAGCAGACAGCCACCACGCTCACACCACAGGCTTGCACAATCGTCCCTTCTCCTTCACTGTTGAGAGCCCGGGTCATCACAGAAGACCTTAAATTACGCACAAACCCCAAAGAGGGACAGATAGCTTTGAAGCAACCAACGTTCTTAAAAATCTTTCTAGCGCAGAGTGTGTTCATGGGAGGGCTTCAGTGTGTGTAGGGCTACACTTTGCAGTGTAGGCGCAAACTTCAGTCACCATCTACCTCGAAGCAGGCTTACACTGCAGGTCACACACCGAACAGAAGTGGGCCGATGCGTCTCCTCTGGTTTCTTCCCAGAAGGCACCAGCCACAGAACTCTGCTAAGGTCTATCAACCTCAAGCATCACGCTTGAAGGTTACTAATCAGAGAGAGTGCACTCTCTGCCCCACGCTAGAACAGACAGGGACAGGGACAGTGTTGGGGGAAGATGTTAGCTTTACGCCAACACTAACTTCTAAAAGATGAAGTCCTCCTGGCTTTAGACAAGACCCTTAAGGAGCCAGGAGGACTCTGCCTCATGCCTGCACAACCTCCACAGATGTGGTTCTGCCAGAGCTGTGTCACAGACAGGAATGAGGAAGAGCCGGCTCTCACTGTGAGCGACAGAGGCTTGCAGTCAATGTATTCAATATTGCACAATTTTAGACCAGAATCTTGATAAATTTCTCTGGCTGCTTCTGACCCTGAAATGTTCCCGGTGCCTGAGCTGACACCTGCAGGCAAGGCGCACACGCTCAGCCTGGAGCTGGGCGGCATCTGGGTGAGAGCGCCAGGTGTCTGGGTCATTGCATACCTTGCCAGTGAGAAGTTCAAAGAGGACAGCACCCAGGCTCCACCAATCACAGGCTTCGGTCTCTTCCGTGACTGCTCCAACCTCTAAACACACCAAAAAAGGTTGATATTAAAATTCGAGAGGTCAATTAAACTTTCAAAATTAACATGTATTAGCAAGGTGACCTTGTTAACGCTGAGACAGCAAATACTAAACACTCGTGGGCTTTCAAATCCCTGAAAGTCGCTTCTCTCTTTGGTCACCTACTGGGGTTGCATTTTTTCCCGACACAGTCATACATTAAACAGAGACATTTGTTCTTTGGTTGACGGGGGACACCTTCAAGACACTGTACTTAGGGTTGCGGGAAACTACCTGCTCAGCACTTGCTTCACCTTTCACATTCAGGGGAGCCGATTTACCCTTCCAAACCAGCTTTTGTTTGAGAAATAAAGACTCCTTGTAAGCAGAAGGCACTTCACAAATTACCTAAGCCAATATTAATTACGCTGCTGGAAGCCAGGAGAGCACTTCATCCAATGTCACGTAACAGCAGATGACAGCCCCAGCCTCTCCCTTCATTGCTCAGACCTCTCGCTGAAGGAGCCTGGGAAATGCAAGCCCAGCCACGCTCAACTTTAGAAGAAATAGTGTTCAAAGCCACAAACAAATCTGCTGGTTTAGAACAGCCAGAAACTCCAGCTCAACCTGCTTGTTCCTGGAGGAAGCTGAGGTGTCCCCATTCAGGATGCTTCATAATGAGCCAAGTCCAAGGCTACAGCTGCTAATTCCTGCCTGAGACCTTGCTCTTTGCTAACGACAGCAGATTAGTCCCAAGGCCTTGCCAGTATTTGCCCCTCTGACACCATTCGGACAAAAGCAGCTTACTGTTATTTGACTACAGGGAGCCTACACCCAAGACAATGGTGTTCAGACGTTTCTGGAGGGTTGGTGAGAACCTGAAATGCAGTGTGTGAAGCAGGCATGGGGACCCTGGTTTAAGCAACGCTCTCAGAGCACACCTGAGGAAGAACTGCAGAGCTTTCAGGACATGGCACTTCAAGTCCTGAGGCTAGCGGTGCGCGTGGCAACACACACTATCCCTCCCGCCACGTGCCAGATACGGACCTATCTCAGCAGCTTCGCGTCACTTCCGTGGGACTCCAAAGACCTGCACCACAGACCTTCCCAGCCTGCCTCCGCCCACAGTGCTCACAGCAAATCACAGCCTCCACTCCATGATGAGCAGAGAGGAAACAGACACTAACTCCTGAGCTACTGTCCATGTAACTGAGAGACCAGGTTCCGTCCAGCACTGTGTGTAAGCTGTGAAGTGCGTGCACACTGCGAAGCCGTGCTGGACGACGTCCTTATGTAGCATCGAAGTACAAACATACACTGTTTTCAAACAGGAGAATTCTGATTGAAGAGAACAGGTGAGAGAACTGACAGACAGTTCAGTGATCTGCCCTGGATGGTGACATTTTTACTATTTGTCAGCCGACATAAACACCTCAGTGGTACAAATCTCAAGAGCAGAGAGGATGATGGGAAAACAGGCTGGCTTGCAGGACAGTGCTTGGTGCAGGGAAGGACTTGTGTGTAGCCACCCACGGTCTCCACAGACCTACCATGCCCTGCTAAAGGCTGGGCCAGACCCTGGAGGCCAGGCACGAGTCTTGGAAGTCTTCTGGACATGTGAGTTATCCAAGGGTCTACAGGTCAAATTTCGCTCTCACCATCTCCTCACTCAGCAACCCTCAGGAGACACAACTCCTGGGGAAGCTGTTTCACCACACAGAGAGCCACAAAGAGCCACTGTCACCTTCAGAAGAGTGATCTTAGAAATGTTAGCCAGGGTGTGTGTTCCCAGAACCCTTAGGGAAACAAAGAGGGAAGGTCCGCAGGTCTGCCGTCAAATATAAGCCTTTGCACATATCCTTCCGGTCTCCACAACAGGTCACACGAATTCTCCGTTCAGAATGCTCACACAGCATCTCACTGGCCGTTCAGTAACAGCTGAATGTCTTGCTTGATCAGGCATGTTCAAGTAATCAGCCCTCCGTGTGGGGCCTCGGCCTACCCATCAACCAGTCGGGCCACAGAAGCAGCATAAATGAGGGCTGTACTGGCCCAGATGCGGAGAGCCTGCCACACACGGTTAAAAATAATCTAAAGCTCTAAAGCTGCTTTCTCTACCGGCACAGTGACGGTAGATGTTGCTCTGAAGTATACAGTAAGTAGCCTTGATTACTTAGTTTTATTACGATTTTACCTGCTCAAGACCAAAATAAGAGATCAGCCACTCATTTGGGATGTGCCACCTGCATGCCACACTTTCCAGGTGTGGACGCTGTTACTCTAAGCCAGTGTCACAGCGATGGGCACGGCAGTCACCACGGCCCACATTAGGTCTGAATAGGGAGGCACCCTATGTGGAGACATGTTACATACTTCAATCATTTTAAACGTCCTAACATCTGACAGAGAACTCGTGTGCGTGGACTAACTATGAAAAGAGACCTTACCCTCCCTGTGAGCAGGCGGAGGGTGCGAACCCAGCCACCCCGGAGAACAAGCCTGTTAGGAGCGCCACACTGGAGCCATGCTGTCTCCCTGCAGGCTCCTTCTAATGCCCAGGGAAGTTTTGCTGCGGTGGGCTGGGCAGTTTGCAAGGACACTTTTAACCTGGGCCAGCCTAGAGTGCTGCCCCGCGCAGTCTAGCCCACCGAGGCAAGCTTGCTGGTTTCCCACCGGGGGGTGGCAGGGGCGCAGGGTAAGGGTTTCAGACACCAGATAGGCACTGGGTCTTCTGACCTAGAAGACGGGGGCTCTGCGGGTGGGGAGAAGAGAAGGAGCCACTTTGGGACACAAGGTAAAATTGGCCTATAGTTGCCAGGGACCCCTGTCACTGGGGCATGCCACCTCTGCAGTCGCAAGCCCCTGGGTGGAAACTTTCAGGTACTCTATGAGACAGACCCGGTGGGCCCTTCACTGCGCTCACTAGTTCTCCAAGAGCAGGACCGATCAGCTTTGCTGCTTTGACGTCCCTGTTCACAGAGCCAGGTGGTTGACAGGCAGACAGTGACCAACCTGGCTTCGGCTGCATGTGGTGAGCGGGGTTGAGGGGGGAGACCTGTGGGGATGAAGCCAGCTTCCTTTCTCCTCTCTCTGGGCTCACTGGCTCCTCCAGGACGCACCACAGGCACAGACACTGCTGGTCGTACTCCTGCCCGTGCCGCGGAGCCTCCTGTCATTCCTCATTTCTTCTCCCATCCTTCCTCCGTCACCACCCCTGCCACAGCCACCTTCCTTCCTCTCCCTGGTTCTTTCCCAGGCACAACCAACTCCATATTCAAAAGGCACCAGGCCTTACACTAGTTTTCATCACTGTTACAAAATATCTGACGTCACACAAGGGAGGGACACTTCGCTTCGGCTCGTGGTTTGTCGTCTCCAGTCTAGGCTGGCCAGCTTCCTTGCTTATGGCTCCAAAATAAAGCAAACCTGGCGGGAGTGCATGGTGAAGCAAAGCTCTCACTTCCTGGAGCCCCGGCAGTAGAGGCAGAGGGGCTGAGGCCAAGGCAGCCTTGGCAGCACACGCCTCCAGCGACCCACGCCCTCCGTCAGGAGGCCCAACCTCCAAATAACACTGTCAGGTCAGCACTCCAGGAGCAGGTTACTCTGCTGGGAAGTCCAGTGCCATCAGACCAGCCACGTCCCTGAAGCCTTGTCCAGCAGCCACACCTTTGGCACACGGTCTCAGAAAACAGTCCAGTTTTAAATCCTAAGAGGCCTAAGCAGACTGTCCACCACACGAGAACCTAGGTGCAAGAATCTAAAGGCCACTGTGTGGGCTCTTGACCGGAGTGGCTGCGGATGAGGACTGTAGAGTGATGAGCTTTCTCCCAGAGGGAGAAAATTAAGTTTTAAATCCAACAATTCGGCTTGAAACACTCCAAAACGGCTTCCTGCCAGGCAGGAGCTGATTAATGTGAGGTTGACATCATAGGCTACCGTGCCTGGTTCTCCTGGGTGACTCTGATCTACAACAAAGACTCTGGCATGGAGGTAAGATACAAAAAAGAACTTCCTAGCGGCTGGGGCTGGGAGTGCAGGTGGACTAGGCATTCGCTGAACTGTTTCACGGGCTTTAAACCAGTATCACGCCTCACAACTGTCAGAAAGAACAATGCTGGCTGCCTTTTTAATGGCCTTGAAAAACAATTATTCCTAGATTAAAATTTTAATATATAAGGTGGAAATAGATTGCTAAAAAGAAACTAAAGTTTCTGTGGTTGTCAAACCCTCTGCTCTAAAACTGCTTCACTTGCAAAATCTCAAAAATATGAAAACTCCAGCACAAAGTGAGGGCGCTGATTTACACAACAGTTGTGAGATGGTTGGTATGTTCACTGCAAGTGTAGAATGTGGGCCAGGAAGCTGGCTCAGCAGGTAAAAGTACCAGTTACACAGGCCTGGTACTCATGTTTTTACTAAAAGGGCCGGATGTGGTGGCTGACATCCAGAGCCCAGCACCCCACGATGAGATGGGAGGCAGAGACGGGTCAGCCAGAAGCCCACGTGCAGAGCAGCATTGGAGAAAAGACCTACACACACTGCACACTTCCCCAACCCCAAGACAAACTGAATTACACTCATAGGTAGAGTATAATGAACACCACAGAAAGCTGAGGCCGTTTTAGGCACACGTGTAGCAGGGAAGTGGGGCGCCCTTTAAACCGTTTTGAAAACTCCTTGAAGCATGCTGAAGGACAATCTACTGATTTCAAATTGGTTTTCTTCTGTACTCCAAGCTGTTAACTTCCCGTGTGCCCACAGCCGCTCCATCCTGTATTTGCAACTTGTAGGTTGGGTGTCCTGGTTCCCACAAGTACAGAGGTCTCACAGGTTCTGAACAAAGTGACCAGGGAAAACACTCTTCCCTCAAAAAACAACTTTGTAGGTTCTTCACACATAAACATGGCAAGACAGTGGCATCTAACCAGAGAGTTAGAGGTCTGTGTCTGTACCACAGAGATGGAGGCCCTGGCTCTGTGGCTAAGCGCTGCTCTGAAATAAGGATGGCCATTTTATCCACTCC